AAAAAGACATTTTTTTTAAATAAAATCTTTCACTACTTATGACTTAAGTAAGCAGCTTAGAGTTGTCTGCTTGAGCGGATTGCATCGCTGTCATCTTGTGCTTAGTGCATGTAAGATTACAAGATAATCGCAACCCATTAGCATTTGAAAGCTCAGCATGCACTTTGACCGTTAAGCTTACATTTCCAGTTTTTCCTCTCTGCGTTCTCTCATTTCTTGTCTTGTCTTGGCTTTATTTTATATATTCGTTGCACGATACCCTACACACAAGCAGCAGCTGCATGTCAATACTAATTCAGTCATAAGTTACATTTCACAACACACATGTGTAGTATATCCGATTTGAAAAACTAGTTCAAAAACAGTGCTGGAAATCATCGATAATCGATTTCGAATCGATAATTCAGAACATTTTCCAAGAGAATTACATAAGTCAATATAAAGTTGTGAAAGAAATGTATGTGCTATTTGAAAATAGTGATGAGTGCCCAAGCTCAAGTTCCAAATGAATTACATAAATTAATATAACGTTTTGATTAAGTCAATCATTGAGAAACTTACAGGGTATATTGTGGTCGAGTCTGTCTTTAATTGTTGGCCATTGGGCGTGTCGCGACCAGTTGAGAGAGTTGCTGTGACGAACTAAATACTGTGTGAACTAGAACATGCTTTTAGATGCCTTCCATACGCCCACCTCTTTGCCAGCAACCCTCTCGCTTGAGTCTTAAGTGCTGCTGTGTATTGTCAAGGATGCAGCCTGAGGCAGTCAACGGATTGCATCTTGCCAAGTTGCCGATGCCCACCTGCTGCTGCTGCTGCTGCTGTTGTTATCGCAGTTGTTGTTGTTGTTGTTGGTATGGCGATTGCTTTTGCTGTTGCTGTTGCTCCTTTTGTAATGCTGTTGCTGTCGATGTTTGCATTGTTTTGTTTAGATTATCTGCCGGTTTCCGCACAGCTGGCGCTGAATGGGCTAAGCGCGATATTCCTTGATGCTGTGGTGGCCTATTGTTGGTCGTGTTTACAGAGCTGCTAAGCTGCCAGGCGATAACGTAGCAACGCCCTCGTTGTGCCGCCCACCCTTCTCCACTTTGAAATGTTTTTATGTGGCATTGACATGTAAATTTAATAATGCGGAGCAGCAGCAAGCAAATGGCTGTGCGAGGCACATCTCGCTGTCGGCTGGCAAACGTGTCGATTGATAAATTGCAAGAAAGTTCGTCAGCAAATTGGCAAAAGCAAAGTTTTCCGATTTGCAAAATATATTAATGAGTTTCAACATGTAGCAATCGAAAAAATAATAATCATAATAAATAAATAATAAAGAGAAACAAAACTTTGCTTGTTGCTTCAATTTGCCATGCCACACCCCAAATAACAGCAACAACAAATACTGCCACTTGTCACTTGCCAATTTTTCTATATTTTTCTGCTTTGTACACTCTGATACCCAAGTTACACGAGTATATAAGCACAACTTTGTTCAATTCTCTCAAAAAAGATATGGTGTGCTACGGCCACTGAGGGACTGGGAATCGATCAAATCGATAACTGCCAATCGATCAATCCACATATCGCCCACAGTCTTAAAGCTACAATCACAACACTTGGTTGATAAATTTCTGGTGATGTCCTTCACAAATCGTCATTGGCATCCATACCTTCCGCCCCAGATCCCTATCCCTTCAAAATCGGAAATGGCTATATCTTCTAGAGTATGGCTTCTCAAGTATGAATAAGATAATTTTATAAGTATATATCGGATGGTATAAGTCCATACCTCAAACGATGTCAAAGCTAGAATCACTAAGTCTAGCCTCTACATCTGCAAGTTAAGGCCAAAATGATCAAACGTGGAAGGTAGATGTGGAGGATCCTCCTTTAGCAAGGTGATATCAGCTATTATTACATTAATATCAGAGTATTTCGCAGTCAGTTACTCCCGACAGTAACGCCCATATTTTTTTGTTGCTATATTTTCTTTTACGAAATGTTGTAGAATATTGTAAGCACGTGTTTTGGTTAATGTTGAGTTCTTGCTGCAGCTTCCCTCTATTTTTTGGCTGCTTAATTAAAGCTGGAAAACGAGCCAACACAAAAGACAGGCAAAAGTCAGTCAATTAGCGGGCAACTTGAGGAGCGCAGCTGTTGTTGCTCATACGCCCCATTGGGACTGCGAGGGACTCAACAGGACAGGACAGGACAGAACAGGTCGTGGTCAGGACAAGAGCGCACAGTGAAGGCTTCACGGGAGAGGACAAGTAAGCGATTCGCTGACAGCAGTTGCAGCATGAAGTGCCGCTGTCTGCTGAGAGAAATGTTAATTACAAAAACCAAATTATGCTTATGCATATTTCAAGCACTTAATGAAGTTATTAAAACCCTTCCCCAATCGTCGTCCTTGTCAGTTTTAGCTTGCCTTGACGAAATGTGCCTTAAACGAGCAATCGGAGGGATGAGTGGTGATGGAACTGGGGAAGCAGGAAACACGGAGCAGTAAGATGCTCACTCAACTGAGACTCAATTGTTATTGGACTGCGCCTGTTGCTTGCGGAAAGTTGCTGTGCTGTTCCTCGCAAATGTTGTTCACTTTTTGGGGGTGCTGCATAAATGTAGTCTAGTTATTTAGCTCCATGGAGAGATGGAGATGGTGAGTGTGCGATGCACTCGAATCTGCCTGGCAACACCGTAGCCTAGTTTCAGCAAATACTAAACATTCATTAATTTAAATGTTTATTCCCTTATTCACTTGAAAATGTTTAAAAAAGGAGTATAGCGAAGTTGTGCAAATACATGTAACAAATGCATGTCTGTAATATTGCAATAGTTGTGTAGTGTTAAAATATAGTTAAGAAATTAAGCACATTGAATTAGCACAAGCAATCGATACTGCAGATAAATATACATTGAAAGATGGAATAGCTCCAAAATGATTAACAAATAAATTAAATTCTTTTAATTTATCACAAATGAGACAGCTCTAATGATATTAGTGGAGTAGTGGTAAAGCTTTCTTAGCTTTCCCGGCGACTAAGTAATATTTATAAAAACTAAATATGATGTCAGTATCAAAATCAGTATTATTTCGTAACATAAGCGTTTGGCTGATAGGAGTAAATTTCAGTAACTTTCATTCATAATTATTGTTTTTTTTTCTTTTTACCCGCTGCTAAAATTTGAATGAGGAAACCCATTTTAAGTGTTTCAATTGGTTTAACACTTCTACTTCTACTTTATTCCAAAACACGTCTGCTCACATTACTTTATTCACAACGACTCTTTCTGCTTCTTCTTTAAGTTGGAGATCACGCAATTGATATCGATCGACATCGATATCAATGTTAAGTTACAGATGTTATGTTGCAGTCTTAGTGGCCTGCTATAATATTTAACAGCTAGCCTATCTCCAAGTTGAGCACTCTCGACTAGAATATTCTTACTTGCTTTGTCTTTTCAAATAATAGGATACTTACAAAATACTTTTGTCAGTCACTAACAAGTATATTAAATGGCAAATTGCGCTTGCCAGTTGACACAGGAAACTGTTCTTTCTTGCAACTGCAACCTGATTAATTTCCCATGTTCAAATACAATAAGCCAACAATCAACATTGACACAGAGGAAAGTTAAGATTGCGCAAGCGGTTTTCAGACCAATTGTTTTTGTGTTACATATTTGACCTGTATTATAGATGGAAATAAACTGCTTGGCCTTGTGGGTGGAAATGCAAGTCTCACACAAATGTGAGGCATGGCGCCTAGAAACGTACACGAACAATGGGAGGGCCAAGAGTCAAAAAGTCGCGAACGAGCAGTCGGTCATAGTACCAAGTGCTATAAATCTAACGATAATTTGATGCGCGACGTTTAACGATGCTTTTGCGACCTTTGCACAAAGGAGCGACCTCCCCAACCCCTCCCCTCAAGTAGCTCTCCCTCAAGCTGGGGGTCAATGAGCTCATCTTGCAATGGGCAACGATTCGTTGAAATTAAAGCTGCTGGCTTGCGGGCTAGCTCTTAAGCCAATTAAAATGAAGCCAAGTGACGCACAGTGGGCTGTTTGCACAGTGGTCATGTGCTGCTAGTGGGAGTCCAACGAATTCATCATTTTTGCCATTGTGTATTGTTATTTCCCATTTGCAACTTATTATGGAGTCCATTATGAGCCAAGCAATGCATTTTAAATTGACTCATCAGCGTTATCATGTGCCGCACACGCCTGATTTGGCACAAATTGTGCAACTGCGGAAACTGTAAAAACAGCTGACAAACGAAGCCAATCACCGTGGTGGTGGTGTTGACCCACTGATAAAGGTGCACTATTGATATTTCAGTTTCGCATACAATTGCATTAAGGCATTCCTAACAATCGAATCGCTCCTGACAGGCAGTCAAGCAGGCAGGCAACCGAGATACCAGGAAGCAGCTGCGCTGACACTGCCAAATCGTGTGGCATGCGTGTATTGATAAGGCGCGACAGTTGCATCCACTGAGTTCAAATACTGGCTGGTTTGTCGTTTGGCCGGAAAAAGAAAAACAAACAAAACAAACAAAAAAACAGCACGCAAACAGAAGTGACACATTTTCGTATGGCATGGAAAGGCCAAATTGAAATGAAAGATTCATGTTAATGGCATTGATGTGAAGTGTTTATGCGGCGTATACTTGATTTATATTTTGTCTAATTTTTTTTTTTGTTTTTTGGCCGCTGCTCCAAGTTTGGAATGCAAAGTGCGTTACTCGGAGGACTTGCAGATCATAAATAATAAATGAAGCCAGCCATACAAAAGGCACTCGTGCAGAAGCATTGAGGATTACAGCACTCATAAATGTCCCAGTGCACAAAGATACATAGATACAAAGATACAAAAGGACTGTCGCATAAGAGGAAAAAAGGGAAGTGAAAGCAACGCAGCTCGATGTCAACTTTGTAAGCTAATCCGCACGACAACTTCTATGAAAGTGTCAAGTAATGACAGCTAAAAGTGACAGTTAAATACTCACGTCAAGTGCTTCTGGTCAATTCTCTCTTTAGGTGCACAACAGATGTAATCGCTGGTATCAAGCAGCAAGTGAGCCCTTCTGAGCCTTAACAAGGATGTCTCGGCAGCACCTTTGGATGACCAATTCGCTTTCAAATTTTCAACTGAAATTTACGTCGAGAGGCAACGGCCTGCTTTTTATTCTATGACTGCGCGCTGAACACACAGCACAACTGACAACCAGCCACTGGGCGAGAAAAAAGCGAACTGAATCTCGAGTTGCCGCTGATGCTGCACAGCGGCACGAAGCCGCTTGTGTGCCACCCGAATCGCACGATGCCAGTCGAATCGACGGTCGACTGCTGTTGACTGCGACCCTTAAAGTCGGGTGAGCCTGCTATTGCCATAACATTTGCCAACAGGCCTGCCACAAAATTCATTCATGTCATAGTAAATTGCGTTTCTCGAATCACATGCGCTTTATCCAATTGCAATTACGAAAGTATTTAATTTAATAGCAGGACGCACTCTCTAAAAGCAAATATTATAAATTGCTGCAGCAGTCCAAGTTTGTTTGTTTAGTGTGATTTTGCTTTTATGAAATTAACAGTTACAGTCACAGTCACAGTAATAGTCACAAGCTGCTTCGTAGTCGTTTCAATGTTCTCTGCCATCTCAATTGCCTGCAATTTTCGTTGGCAATTTAATGGCTAGTTTTAGCTTTTTAAACTGTTAAAGTTTGTGTGCATTTTTTGTAAATAATAATTAAAAATTGTTTTTTTCTTGGCTTTAGGTCAAGCGATATTATTAGACGAATCCCGTTGATATTCAAATGATATCTGAATATATATAAAAAATAATAAAAATGAGCATTTAGCCCGAAGTCACCGAAAAGCATATTTAAATTATAAAATACGTCACCGAACAATAAAGAATAAATATTCATAAAATTTAGACTAACAAAATTTGATTATTATTTATTTCAATAATCACTTTTGTTTGCAGCTCATTAGCAAATTAAGCATGTATAACCATTTTTGAAATTTCATTCTCGAAATATTATTTAAGTTGCTGCAAGCATTTTTGTGTTTGCCATTTTGGCTTTTTTGACTTTAAAGTTCTGGTCTATGCTATTGCCAAACAGCTTGAAGCGTTCGTCGAGAATTGGGCATTGGGCATTGGTTATTGGTTATTTTGTATTTGTTATTGGGATTGTGCGGCTGACCGACACAATGTTGCAATGCATACACATTTAACGTGTGCTTGTGCGTCGATATGACCGCTAGTTGGGCTAAGCTCCTGCACCACCCGTACATAAAAACGGGGCAGAATTGTGGTTGCGCGCAGTGTGTTCCGTTGCTGTTTTAATTAGCATGCAACAGGGCGTAATTCACAACGAAAAATTGATTGATCACAATGTACTTTTAGCACAATGTACAATTAGTACAATTATGGTAGAGAAAATCCTCTCATTATAAAAATAAGGCACGACCAACAATTGTTTAGCTTAAAGCACAGTTACCGGCAAAAAAAAAGCGAAAAACTCCTGCAAATCATCGTACAGAACTCACCGTGTCAATTGTTCTGAGTGCTCAATTTGCAAAATGTATTTAGTCGAATTTGGTCAATTAAAATGTTCTTTCAGCGAATTTCAAACTTGGTATATATTTTCCTTTATAAATTGTCTCTTTCTTGGAATTCTAGCGACTCGTTGATTGTCCCTGAGACGTTGGCAAACAGTTTCAACACACAAGAATTGGTTTACTTTCGTATTTCTCCAAATAAGGTTCACGAATACTTTCGGAGGAAGGTTCGAGTATAATTTCATTTCGAGTCATTATCGGTAAGATCTCATATATTGTCACTGCCAAATATTTCACCATAAAACTATCGCTTACTATGGAATATTTTTGAATAAGCAACGAAATAAGTTAATAATGGGTACAAGGGTAGACCAGCGTGCCTAATCTAACCATTTTGTATTCGCTTATTTAACCCAATGAACTCTAAATAAATTAGCCAAGCTTTCATTACTTCGGTTATATTCGCATGACTGTTATATAATAATGAAACAGGCTAACTAAAAATGTAAGTGAGGAGATATGTTGAGCAGTCAAAATGGCGTAACAAATCGAAGAAAATATCTGACTGAGAATATCTATAGCAATATTGACATTATACAATGTAACTATTATTATTTTGGTCATAGCTCCATTTGGTTTCTAGTCTGGTTATTTGTAGTCCAATTGGGAAAACTAAAGTTGGACTTCATTGATTGGTACTAGGCAATTGAGTCGATAAATTTGGTTTTTTCTAAATCACAGCACTAAATATTTGTAGGCCATTTCTGTAATTATCAAGCAAATAAAGTATTAGATTATTATCACTTTTTAATTTGGCAAATTAATTTAAAATAGAAGCAGTACGTAAAAAGTAAAATCGAAGCAATTCCCGAATTGAAACGTGTTTAATTTTCAAAAGTGAATTTTGGTTACAGTTTGAGAGCAATTGGCACTCAAACATAATTGGCATGCAGTACCAACAGTTTTGAGTGTTTCCTGTCTGCTCTGTTTCAACATGTTACAATATGGGTATGTATGCATATATATGATCGCATTTACTTATTGTTTTTGACCACACGTTGCGCTATTGCCAAAAAAGAAGAGCAGACAACAAAACTTTATAGCAGAAAAATGAAAAAATAAACATAAAAATAAAGAAGCAACGCAAAAATAAAAGCAAAACAAGTTTTAATTGGCGGCTCAAGTGGCATTCAACAGTTTCGCCAACTTTTCTGTGACTTTCTTTCCGCAATGAGCTTCAAAAAGAAAAAAAAAAAAAAAAAAACGACACCCACGTCCACAGTTAGCATACAAATGCGAACAATTCGAGCGCTCATCAGTGCGTTGCCAAGATCTCTTGCCCGGTTCCCCGGTGCCCCCGCTTGGCCCACTGCAGGCCAGCGTTTTGGCCAGTTAAAAAGTCCAACAGTCGAGCAATTGATTATGTGATAAACTACCAAATTCAAATTTGCATTGCGCTTATGCAAAGCAAGCGAAAGAAAAACAAAAGAAGTGCACTAATTATGTGTTGTATGTGAAAGAGACAACAACCGCTAAAGCAATTAAACATTTTATAAGCAAATATTTATAATCATTTTTGTAAGATCGTTGTCGCTGCCCATGCAACTGGGACAAGTCTAGCCCACGAGAAACAGGTAACACAACACCGAATAACCAGGCTGAAGAAATATACAAATACGAAAATAATAATTAAATAACTTGGACTGCCCGGCAGCAACAATGACAATAACAACAACAACAACAACGGCGAACACAAAAGTAGCAGTAACTGAAAATTATATAATATTGCCCGATTATGACTGTTTTCGTCTGTATTTGTTATTGTTTTTCTCTTTGTCCCCTTCCTTCATTCTCCCCGGTTTCTTTTTAGTGGTTTCTATTCGATTTTCACTGCGGGAACAAGATTGCAACATTTGTATGGACCGTGTCCGACAACATTAACTGATGTGAAAATTCAAGACTTTGGCTATCTACTTCGCGTGGGCGTGAGAAGCAAAAATGCCACGAACATGTTCAGCCAAAATTGCATAAATAATTAACAGCTCAATCTGGAAATTATTTTTCACTTAAGCGAGCAACATTTTGATCACAAATCTGAATTCGTTTTCAGATTTATATTCAATCAAACCTTATAATAGACTGTTGTCATCATATCCGACTTTCTCAGACTCATAATAATCATGGCAATGTCCGTCTGTTTTTTTTTTGTTTGTTTGTTAAAGCTATTTATTAGACATATTAAGTTTGAAATTCGTTTGAATGTTGCTTTTGCTTTCCTATGATGAACTTCTAAATTATTCAAACATCCAACTGGCTTTTTATAGGGCAGAGTTGCCATATGGTTTTTATTCAAAATTATTTGTATCCAACTGAAACTGCAGTGCAGACAGTAGTTCTAAAGGACAATGCAATTGGAAAACTGCTTGCACTGCTTTCAAATAAATAAATATATTTGTGCTCTATTAATTTTCTTGGGCAATGTTTATGATGTCCACTCTGCCAGTGTGTTTTATTGCTTTTATATGCATATGTCATGAGTGTTATGAAATTGAATAATACTTTTCACAAAAGTTAAATGGATATTTCTGCACACATGCTGCAGTGGAGAAAGCAGTTCAATGGCCGCATAATCAGCACTGCTTTGCAAAATGTTTGACTTGAATTTATATTCAAATTCAAATTCGTTTGTCAAATTCGTTTGTTGATTAGAAATAATATCAAGTTATTGCCAAAATTATTCCCATATACAAATTAAGCGCAAACATATAAGTTGTACAAATACAAATTTTAAATATTCTAAACAATCGATTATGTCTCTGCAAGGCTCAGATTACAAGCTGGCCACAACCATTAAGGTTGTTACCCCATCGATTAGCCTGCCGCCTAATCTGAAGCCCTGGCAGCGCATCGATTTGCCGGCTTGTGTCCAGTCGCGTCTCTTCGGCGACTGGGCTCAGTACTACAACCGTTGGCAGCTCAACAAAAAGGCGATCGAGTATTTCTCACGCTCAATCACCGTGTGCGGGAGTAACGGGGACACCGTCTGTTCGAGGGTGAGCTGCCAACCACTTGCAAAGAGCGTTTGCCAAAAACTATATGATACGCTGAATAAGCGCAGCAGATGCTGGCGATCACTTGCACAGGCGGAGCTGGCGCTGAAAGACTCACGGCACGCCCACCAACTTCTGAAGCAGGAGGGCATCTCGAAAGCCAGCATTGTGCTCAGCAAATGCGATGCCCTCTTCGACTGCAACCGCTTTGAGGATAATCTGGTCATGCTTCACATGGAGGAGCGCAACTATCCGGGGAAGTGTGTCAAGAATTGCTTTCGGCTACGCAAAAATCGCGTGAGTTCAATGACTTTGAATGCGATTTACTTAATCAACTTTCCAAAGTTATTGTTAGTTTATATAATTTGTGTGTTGTGGGCGACCCTTCCGATCCCATACCGTAAATGTTTGCCTGTCTTTATTCAGTATAGTTCCGCTATTTGCAGGCAATCGGAGTACTTGAGGATACACTGGGCGATAGCTTGCATTCCTTTCTGCTGGATACTTGGCCATTGATTATGGAGGCGGCGCACGTCCACCGTACATCCGTCACATTCATGCCTCGGCCGTTGTGGCAGCAACTGAGCAACAATAATGGCTGCGACCTAGACAGCGTAGTCAATAAGGAGAAGCCCTTATTGTCACCTCTGGAAAAAGCGCGTCGCCAGGTGGACGAAAACGTCTACAACTATCATTATCTGAGCAAGGCCGCCAACGATGCAACCCTGTTGCATCAACTAAAAAACGATCACAATCTTCTCAATCCGCTGTTGCGGGAATCCACACCCTATTTGGCCCAGTTAACCACCGAGCAGTACAGGATTGTCAGAAAGTTCACGGTACTGCAGCCATTGCAAATTGCATTCACAATAATCGACTCTTTTCTATATTTTGCTTATGACATGCGTAACTTGTCCGTGCGTATCCGTATCCGTAGAACATGTTGCACGCCCGCAGACCGCTGTACCACAGCAAGCAGGAGAAGTGCCGCATCAGCCAGATCTGTGAGAGGAACCGCGAGAAGTACTTGTACCGCGTACAGTACCAGTGCCGACGCGACTGCCACAGCATGCTGCGCGAGGTGAGGCAACGGCGACAGGAGCGCGACATCGAGCGACTGACCGAATACGTGGAGCACATCATGAGCACTAATATTGTACTAAAGACATTCCGTGTGTTGCCCTGGAAGTGGGAGTTCATCACTGATGTGTTTAACATACTGGGTTTGGCCCATGTCGATCGATGTACATTGCCGCAAAAAATTGATATTTTGAACTGGCAAAATTATGCTTTGATTTATATGCTGCCAAAGGATCGGTTCAAGGACTTATCGCTCGACCATGGAAGTCACAATGTCTACGCTGAAATTGCTAGACATGAGGAGCGAATGAATTGTGCCGCGTAAGTTGTAAAACAGTCAAATAAGTAGCTGTCGTAAGATTGAGACTTGTTTAAGTTCAAATTGAATCTTATCTCATAATTTATCGTTGAATCATCTTGTATTGTGTCGATTAAATTGAAGCAAGAAAGTGGAACGACTTGAGGAGCGTTTAATTTACTCCCGGTATGGCATCGAAAGGACGTATCTGCTCTTCGAAATAGCGCGATGTCACTTCAAGGAGGCGCGCTTCGACAAGGCTTTGACGATGGCTCACAAGGCCGCGAATGGTATGCGACAGACTGCCACTAGTCTTAACTCACTGGCCAAATACACAAATGACTAATTATGAGCAGAGGCACGCAGTTGCAACAGCACCGTTTGGCATTTGAATTGCACCTTTCTGATCTCTCAGGTGCATGCGGCATTCAATCGCTTCCAGCGCCTCAGCCAATCGCTTAACAGGGCAAAGCAGCTGGCTGAGAAGCTAAAGTCGCTCAAGATGATGGCTTTTCTGGCGCTCTTGATCGCAATCAACAATTTCAAGCTGGACAATTATCGCTGGCGTCATTTGGATGCCAGTCAACGAAAGGCGCGCAGGCGCAAGGATCGCCAATCTCTGCAATCCATCGATTCGAGTGACAACCATTCAGGTCACACCATACGTTGAATCTTCCTCTGCGTGAGGGTCAAGACCGGGGTCAGGGTCATGAACTGCTTGCACTAATTATGAACTGCTTGACAGCAGTGGCAACAGCAACTGCAACAGTTGCTCTGCAAACAGCTGTAACAGCTGCAGTTGCTGCTTCTGCTGATCTCAAAGCTGCTCTAATTGAAAGTTTCTTTTACTCTTTGATTTTTTCTTGTATACTTTTCTTTCGCTTACTGTTTTATTGGTTGTTGGCTTATGTTTTTCTATGGTAGCAATAAATAAGTATTAATTAACAGGCATTTAGCATTAACAATTCAATAACAATTACAATAAATTAACAATCAGCTGATATCGCTCCAATAGTTAAATGCCGCTGCGCAGTCGCTGAAACAGGCGGCGACGTCGCTGCTGTTGTTGTTGCTGTTGTTGCTGTTGCAGCTGCTGTTGTTGCTGTTGCAGCTGCTGATGTTGCTCCTGTTGCCGTTGGTTAACCCCAGCACCATTAGCATTGTCATCAACAGCTTCGCGGCTTGGCTCATTGACAATGATGATGGTGTTGTTATTGTTATTGTTGTTGCTGCTGTTGTTGCTGCTGGTGCTGGTGCTGTTATTGCTGATGGGCTTAGCAGCACTTTCATTGCTATTAGCAGGTGACGCCCCCTGGGCCAGCTGCACATCGTCATCGTCTTTATTGTCTTCGGCTGCATCATCATCATTATCATCATCATCATCATTATCATCATCACCATCCCCACCATCACCACCATCATCATCATCATCATCATCATCATCACTAGCATCTGCTTGCGTCGTTTCATATTCCTGCTCCTCCTCCATCTTTGTTTCTGCCTCTGTCACTGTCTCAGTGTCATCGTCTTCTCCTCCTGCTTCTCCTCCAGCTTCTTCTGCTTCTGCTTCTGCCGCGTCATCCACATTCACTTCATTGTAACTGTCGTTTGCCATTTCAGCAATTTCAGCTACTGATGTTGCTGTTGCAGTTGTTGTTGATGTTGGTGTTTTTGTTGTTGTTGCTTCGTTCACCTCTTGATCTTGCCCCACCACCTCCACAACCTTCTCCTTTGTTTGTTCCCCCTGCTGCTGTTGCTGCTGCTGCTGTTGCCCATAGCTCGCCTCCTCCTCATCCTCTGGCTTCGCTGTTGTTTCTGTTGCTGTTGCTGCGGCTGCGGCTGGCACCTCGTTGGCTTGTATTGAATTGGTAATTGTTTCAATTACTTCGTTTTGCTTCAGGTCGCTCTCGCCAACTTTGTCATCAGCCGCCGACTCCTGCTTCGTCTCCTCCTGTACCTCGTCCCCCTTCACTTGCAGCTGCACCTCCGCATTGTCATCATTATCATCATTATTATCATCATCATTATCACCATCATCATCATCGCCGTCGCCAGCATCAGTCGTTGACTCTACCAGGTCTTCGTCTCCTGCCATAAGCATTTCACTTTCAATTTTCAGTGGTTCCGATTCGGTTTCGGATTCAGGTTCAGCTGTCTCTGTTTTTGGTAGTTCTGTTATCTGGTCATCGAGCTGGTGTTGCATCTCCTCCTGCTGTTCTCCCTCCAGCATCTCGGCATAGTCATACTCGAGCGTATCCCTATCATCCTCATCGGCTTGAGGAGTACTGGCAGTAGGGATCACGGGCTGACCATTCTTATCGACGTACTGGACGCCATCGAGACCCATGCGCATGCACTGAAAGTGCATCTCGAAGAGATCGGTCGTAGCCAGTCGCACCACAAAGTCCATGCACATGTTCAGATTGTTGCCCACCATCGCCACATCGGTCAGCTGGACGCACATTGCCATCGGGACACCCATCATAACGGGTATGCAGAAGGGCGATGGATTTCGCACCGAGATCCCGTATTTGGCCGATTGACGTTCATTTAGGTAGACTTGTACCTGCGCCTCCTCCAGTTGCGGCACGAATGTGATATTGGCACAAACTGCAAAGACAGTCGTAATTAAACAAAGAAATCAGATAGATAGAGAGAGAGAGACAGACAGAGAGAGAGAGATAGAGAGAGAGAGTATTGTGCTGCTATGAATGAAAGTTGCGGGTGGAAGTTGCTATTGAATTCGGAATTGAAATCCCAGCCAACTAACAACTCGATGCGTCAAACATGCAAAAAAAAAACGCCAACGATTTGTGGCATTTTGATTGGCAAATGCAACTGTGTCATGGAAGACGAACAACAATTTGTTGTTGCTGCTGCTGTTGTCTGCCTGTCATTGCAACAATTGCAGCCAAGCAACGAACAACGAATTTCGACATATTAATCACCCCAAACTGAACAACTGAACAACTAAACAACTGGACAACTGGACAACTGGAGTAGTAGTTCAGTGTGTGTAGAGAAGCGATTCAGACTCCGATTGGAATTGCAATTGCAATTGGAAGTGGTTATCAGTTCCATTGACACTTGGCAGAAGCATCTGGGGCTGCAGTTAGAAAAATATATATATACCCAGTTATCATTTCTATTTTGTCTAAATTGTCGCACATTGCAAAAATATCTAATATAATTTCACTTTCTATTTGGCATATCTGAATAAATATTTTTGTTATATTATATTGAAATACTTTCATTAAATGATTTTACAAGGACAGGGGTCATTGCCATAAAAAAAGAAAAACAAAGACTTGGAAATATTTTGTTCTGAATGCAGTGTTAAAGAAGAAGAAGAAGAAACAGTTATTTACCCTTCTGATCGAACTTGTACTGATCCACTTTGAGGCCAGCACAGCAGCCACAAATCATGCCGCGACACTCGCACGGCTGTCCGAATGTGGACCAAATGGAGCCCTTCTCCGAGTACTTGGCACTGGCCAAGTTTCGGCCACGCGACACGCTCACCGTCGGTGGCAGATAGGGTGTGTGCGACTGCAGCTCGTAGAAGATGAGTCCATTGCTGTAGCTGCGTGCCACAGCCAGCGATGCGGCACAGGCGCAAACGGCAAGCGCCAACAGCGCATTTGAGGATAACATTATTTATGTATGGTAATAAGTGAATATTACAATTGGAAATGCACCGGCAATATCCTTTGGTGTTAATACCGCACACAAAATCCACAAATAAACAAAAAAAATAAAAATAAATAAATATTGGCGCCTATTTTTGATTCACACGTTTCACACGACGATTTTATTCAGCGTTGGTTTTCAAGTGTTTAACGAGTCGCCTTTTGTCGCACCACTTTTGCCAACCGCTAGCGAGCGATGAGAATTATATATTAAAACGCTGAACGCGTCGAGCGTTTGCTTAAAAATGAAATGGAAACCGCCAGCGGAGCAGCAGCAGCAGCGGCAGCAGCGCCACCAGCAGCGCCACCAACAGCAGCAGCAGCAGCAGCAAAGCGACGTCAACGTAGGCAGCGACAGCAACAGCAACAGCAGCAACAACAACAATAGCAACACAAACTGTTGCTGCTGTTTATTTATTTTTCTTTGTTTATTACGAGCAACTCTTTCACACCCTCGCTTTAATAAATATTTAATATAAATACAAATATATTATTATATCTAAAAAAATTGGTTTTAAATTGGCTTACAATTATTTGCAGTGTATAAGTTGTTAATCGATAGGCTAATATAGATTGGTTTAATTTATGCAACTATATTTAATAACAGATTTAAATGCAGTTTGAGTCAAGAAAGCATCTTACTCACCACCTATTAGAATGTTTGCCTAATTTTGAAATCATTTTGAAAACATAACTGTTCAATCATTTTTAAATACATTTCAGGTAACTTTTCAGGTATTGCTTCGTTGCGAATAATAGTGAAATTGGCTTATCAAAAAACTTAAATTGGCATGCAATTTAATTCTAAGAATATCATCTTTCAAATTCAAAAGTTTTCGTTTTCTTCTAAATCTTAGAGCAAGTAACAATAATAAAACTACAATGTTTAATAAAAATAAATTTCTTTAATTATTATAAATCTGCAGAAATTTAGCAAGCAATTAATTTAGCTAGTAAATATGTGGCAGAGTTTCAGGGTTGCCACCAATCCATTATATGTGAAATTGCATTTGCTTTAATTTTTGCATGCCAGCTCAGTAAGAGCATCTGCTGAACGACTTAAAGCCGCCTTTTTTGCTTGTTATCAGCGAGCTGAAATCGCTAAAAGTCGCTGCCAACGTTGACGTTGACTGCGCTGTCGACTGCGCAGCTGTTGTTTTTTGGCTCTTGGCTTTTGTCGTTTGTATTTTATTTTTTTGTTGTTGTATTTTTTTTTTTTAGTTATTTGTTTGCCTTCTCGGCTGCTGCTGCTGTTGCCATTGCTATTGCTGCTAACTGTTGCTGCTTGACTTTGTTGCTTGTTGCGTGTGCCGCCGCGTTGGGTCGGTTGACAGTGACAAGAAAATTGCGCCGGTCGTGACTCGCTGGGAAAGCCAAAAAATGTGGCTGCCACTTCAACCTCTACTGCTGTTGCTGTTGCTGATGCTGCTGTTCATGTTGCTTCATTGTTTTATGCTGCTGTTATGCAAAGCATAGCACTTGGGTTAGGTCAGGCCGCTTACGGGTTCTGCACAGCAACCTCCCACCTAAGCGAAAGAAAAAAAAACCAAAATAATTTTTAGCTGGTAAAAGCGGGTGATTTGTGAGCAAGCGTTGGCCGTTTATATTGCTGATTTATCAATGGAAAGCAGAGCCATTGTTTCGTGGCTATTTTTGCCAGCCGGTCAGCCAGACAGTCAGTCTGCCAGACGGCCAAGAAAAGGTCTTCAAATGCAATCGCATTAAGCGCAACTCGTGCGATTGCATAACAAGTCTGTCTCGGCAACCAGCCCCACCCCAACCCCACCCCCTGCGCTGAGCTACCTTTTACCCTACCTAATAGCTACACCGAAAGAAATAGCGGTGTATAATCAATATCGAATAATCTCGATGCAAGCTCTCGCAATTTTAGTGAACTATATTTAAAATAAAACTATTAATTCCGAGTTGCTAAAACCAAAAAAACCAAATTTTTTAGAATTCCTTTCTTTTTTTAAAGATGTAAGTTCATAATCAACTTTAAATAATAACTTCATTATTAACTTAAGCCAACTAGACTTCGATATTCGGCAATAAAAATGCTGGGACTACATCCTCAACATTGGTTAAAGGAGCACTTTGAATCCTGCAAAAATTCTGGTTAATATAGAACGAACTATTGGAAAGGCGCAGTAGAGCAAAGTCCCAATGCAAACTCATGATGATAATAATGATAATAATAATATAATAATAATAACAATAATAATAGTAATACAAACATTTATTTGAAATAAATGATCGACTCAAGTGACTTAAATCTTAGTAGTCTCTCAAGCACGGACGATAAAAGTTTTTCTCTCCGTGTACGAGCAATCTTGTTAAGCGTTAAGGGGGACGAGTCGAGTCGAGTCGAGGCGTCGCTTTAAATTGAAATTGTCAACGTTGGCAAGAGCTGCGACAATTAACGCTAATTCAACTCCGTCATCGTCAGACACTGCGCCTGCGCCAATTGCTTGGTATTTGTGGTATCTGGTAGGAGGGGGATAGCAACCACTGGTGCAATGCGCCAGTTTATGTAATGAGCATCGTTGTTTTTGTTGCCATTGCCGTTGCTGTTGCTGTTGCTGTTGCACATTGTCATAGAGTTGAGATAGAGAGACGCGCCGCATCGCTTATTATACATTATTATTCATTATTCAGTATTCGTTACTCATTATTCATTACTGATACTATCAGTTTTGAATGCGGCCCTTTTTTACACCAGATTCGTCTCAGTGTTATGGGACGTCATTAGTTACCATGTTACCAACAATCGAGCAGGTGAATTGCGGGACAGTTGGTCCCCCAATTGGGTCAAGTGATGGACGCGTTACGCAGTCGAGAGCCGCTTAAAGGCACTTGCAGTCCCCAAACGATTTACAGCTTATTATAAATGATACTTAGTCGACTTGCTTTTGTTTTTTTTTTTTTTTTTTTTGTTTTTTTGTAGCCCAAAATATGATGGCTTTAAACTGTGTACGAGCAATCATCGTAAATGTTAATTTACTACGGAGATGATTAAGAACCCGTTTTCTGATCGGCAGCTGCGACTATGATATGTAAGTGCAACATTTGGATGAATATTTGTGGTCAGTTTTGTTATCGAACTCTTAATAAATTCTGGTCAAGTCGATGGGTTTTATCAATACACAGCCGATTGATATTGAATCCAATATCTTATTCTAAGTAAGCGAAACTATTTTTGAATTGCTGCAATTTTGTGAATTTACAGCTGTGGTCAAAATAATAGCAACTTATATAATTCAGTCGCTGTAAGCAAAAGTTAATCAATTCAGAGCTTGAGAAAATGAGTTCTGTCTTAGTTATCTGAGATGGCTTAGAGGCTTAGAGTCTAAATCAATACTAGCACTTTCGTTAAGCTTTGTTTATGGCTTTTTTTTAAAGCTTATTAATGGGTTTTATGAAAAAATAAGTCCCTAAACTAAGAGGTGGAGGAACGTAAGACGATATATTGAGAAGTAAGCTGTTCTTTCTTTCTTTAAAATGCGAACATTTCAGATTTGGAGGACCCGAATGTCTGGGGGCGGCGGGTGTGGGCGTGATCCCGAAATTTATATGGCAATCTCCGAAATAGGTCGCCCTTCTATCAAAATTTGCTAACGTCATCTTTAAAATTTTGAGGGATATATACGCTTTTATCGACTTGCACATATACATTTTACCGATTTCGTAGCCCCCAAATCGAAGTAGTACTCCAATCTTGTACCTTTGGTACCAGAGTACAAACAGAAATCCCATGACACTAGTAGTTGGGAATATGTAACTACGAACAACCACAATGAGCACCACTGAGTTGTTGTTGTTCGCACAAATCTGTGGCATTTTGTAAACGCTTCCTCGAGCCATGCAGGTATGCGACATAAATCAACATTGAAATCCACAAACAAGCAACTCCAGCTCCAAAATATATATAACACAACGGATCGCATCGGAGCGTTAGCTGTGACAGTTTGTTTAGTGGCATGCAACTGGTTTGCACCGGACCAGCAACTGGTCCACTCCAAAAAAAAAAAAATCAATAACTTCAGGCCGAGCACTTGGCCTTTAAAACCAAAACATTTTATTATAAACAACAACTAAATCCTCTGGTGCCAAGTAGTTGACTATGCGATACCCCGTTTCATTTCATATCCTTAAATATCAAGATTTAAAGATATAATGCAAATTTTATTTTATCAAAGTTTATTTACTTCCAAATATCGATAAGAATCGATTACCGATAGCACTAAAATTCTTTGTTTTAATGTAAAAAATGTTGAACTGAGTTCAATCTTACAGCTTAATGAGCAATGGGCATTTTTTTATCAATTCCACATTGTGACATAAATCATGCCTCCTCGTTTGACGACCCCTTTGATGGCAGGGTATTGAAAAGCTGCCAGCCGACACGCCATCGAAATGTTGGCATTGCCTAGTGGCGCATATGGGTGCGAGAGTTGTGCGTGGATTAGAGTGACCATTTGGCACTGCTGACAACCAGTTCACCCGCTGCCTTGTACGTGAACTTCCGTTTTCCGGTCCCGGCCCAGAGCCACAACTTCGCAACTGGAAACTGGATCATGAAACTGGCCATCTAAGAGCTATATAAAAATGCGTGAGGTCTTCAAGCGGAGCAACACACGTGAAACAACAGGCAGAATGTCAACGACAACTCGGCAACGCGGGCTGCTGCTCCTGATCCTGCTCTCCAGTGTTAGCATTGAGGCCCAGCAGCTGGTCTATGCGCGTGATCAGCGCTCGCTGTATGGGCCCCCAGCATTGGGCTGGAACAGCATAGGTGGCTTCAGTCCCCTTGGCCTCGGTCACATGACTAAGGATGAGCTGTTGACACTGCTGGAGGCCTGGCAGGAAGTTGAAGGCGATGCAAGGCCACCAGTAGAGGAACCGGCTCCACGGCCGCCAAAGCCACCAGCGCCACCCCCACGCCCACCACCACCGCCACCGCCACCGCCACCGCGACCACCAGCACCACCACCAGCGCCGCCAGCACCACAGCCACCACGTCCCGCACCGGAACCCGGTGCACCGGTTAACGTTCGCCTACCCGCCTTTGTGCCCATACAACTTTCGGCTATGTTCACACCATCGCAGGCAGCTGCAGTTGGAGCTGGTGCTGGAGCAGGGGCATTAGATGCTGGAGATGGGGATACTGTTGACCAGGACATGGTTGTCCAGTCCGTTGAGGCTGCCTCGCCGCGCATATTCCGCTTCATGCGCCTGCCAGCGGCAGCTGTTCAGCCGAGAGCTCGTGCCGCCCAACAACCACAAGTTCAGCGTAATACGCTGGAAAGTGTCGACGCTGGCCTGGCACCACTTGCCAGTCTTTTGCAGGCCAAATCTAGAACCAATCCTTCTCTGGTTGCACATCAAAAGTCTCCAGTTCGACCCAGGTAAATGCATAATCACTTTCAAACCTTTTTAGCTCAAGCTAACCCATCCATCGTGTCTGCATCCTATAAGATTTGTGCTGCCTCCGCTGCCCCACATGGCCAATGCGCCAGGACCTCTCGAGCTGGTGCCCTCATCCCAGATCATTGGTGATTGGCGGGAGTAAACCAAAGTCTATAAGCTAATCTTATTGCCATAATTTTTTTTTATATTAACATATAACATATACATATATATAGTTAAGTATGTGTGAAGAAGATTAACTCTAAATTTTCAAAATTTACATGCATAAAATACAAAGATTTGTTTCTTAATGAAAATCGACAATATACCTTGTAGTGGGTCAAGTATATGATTTGTCTATTGCAGATTTTGGAGAAGTCGCGATTTTAAAGGGTTTTTCTTACAAATTGGACTTTGGCTTTCAAATCGTGTATCTCACGCTTCCTTATCGATTAACACTATTGTTACAGTTGTGCTCAAAATAATAGTAGATCTGTCAAATCTTTGTAAAATATGAACATTTACACGTTTTGGGTGCAGGAAGAGAATATATTCTACTGACGTTTGACAGAGTTTATTAGTATCAGTTCTCTTGCTTTAAGGGTGTCCCAAAAGTATTTAACGTTCTCTCAATTGCGAAATCATTATGTTTGTTTTTTGGGCCAGACCAGCATGTTGTCTCACTCATATTCGTGTGGTCGCATGTCAGCTTCTCGATGATGCTATCTCCCTCTAGTTCATGCTAGACGTGTATCTTTCGCTCGGATGCGTTGTTGGGCTTGACTAAACAAATGTTTCCACATAAAAATATATTTACCAATTCATAGTAATATTGATACAAATTCAAGATTGAAGGAAATGGAAATTTTGTTTTCTGATCAAGATAATATTTAAATACGCGCAAAGCTTTTAGTCGGCTTAAGTTAAAATGTTTCGACTACACCAACAAGTTTTTATGGTTTCTAGAAATATTTTGTTTAATTATTAAATGAATTGATTCGCTTAATCGGCCAAAAATATGATATTTATTTTTTTCTTCTCTAGAAATGACCTTATTTTTAGAAACATTCCTTCTTTATGGGATAAAATACTTATTTGTTAATTATTTAGGCAGGTTGTTATATAGGTATAGGTGCTCCTTGGCATTATCTATAGGCATTACTTCTGTATATCAATAAGTTGATTTATATGTGAGCAGGTGGAATGCGATCTGTGGAAAATCTGCAGATTAAAGTTGTTCTTTCTAGTTGACAATCAATAAATATAATTATTATTATATTATAAAGTTTAAAAGAAGATTACGACCAAGAGTAGGGGTTTGATTGATGAAGCTTTCCACTTTGATTATTTCATTATTTTACAAAAGGTTTCTGCATTGGAATTCGATTTACAGTTAAGTCTTAAAGCTGTAACAAAATAGCCGAGTAACATTTAAAGCTAACATAAGCTTCAGGACCATGGTAAGCTTCAGCTTGAAAAGCTATTGCGGAAGCTTTTGGCCGAAGCTGCTGATAGAGCTTTAGGAGAGCTTTTACTGTTGCGTCGCTGTAAGTGGTCGTATGGCAACTTGTTGTTAACGGGATGCTTGTGGACTGGACGCGAATTCGTTGCAAATTCAAATTCATTCGTCAACAGACTCTCGTGCGATACGGTTCAGCCTCAGTCTCTCCCAGGCGGCAGCAGCACAAGCAACAGCATCAGTGACAGACAGACAGACAGACAGGCAGACAGTCAATGTGATTTGAACGTCGTCAAGCGGCATACAAGAACAACGCGCTCGTAGCGCGTACGCATAACGGTTCAAATTTAAAAATAATAAGTGTGTGCGTGTGTGTGTTCCAAATTGATTGTTGTTTGTTTTTTCTTTTTTTCGCTGTGCCAAAGCCAAAGGTGTTTGCATTTCACTTGGCAATTGTACCGAGCAAATTGACCAAGACGAAAGTCGAAAGTTTTGAATTCCACTTTTATCGGAACGGGCAGAACCCATCAATCTTCCTCTGGTGCCTAGAATTTTTTGGGCCTGGTTACATTCTACTAGCTACCTGGGATTAGGAGTGACGCATAATCCGCAAATAGCGACAACAACAACAACAACAGCGGCAGCAGAAAAAACCAAAAACCAACAACTAAAGGTAAAAAAAAAGGTGAGTATAAGGACACAATTTGACTTTAAATCTGACTGGGTATGGCTCCATTATTAAGATTCAAATTTATCAATTTAAGTGCGTTTGTGCCTTTAATATTTGTACATAAAACATCAAAAATGTAATTTTAAACAAAATAAAAAATCGTAGAGTACATTCTTAGCAACAATCTAATAAAGCATTGCCGAGTTACTTTTGTATTTACTATTGTATTTTTGCGAATATTTTTCTAAATTTACTTTAGCTATTCTGACAAGAAAAACATGCAAAATACATTTTTAAGGAGTATGATTTTTTCCCACAATATATTTAAAATAAACAGAATGCTGATTCAAACTCAAAAGGAAAGGCATATAAGTTTGTATAATGCAAACCCATTTTGATAAATGGGCAGACCTATTTAAGTGCTCAATTCATAATAATGATTGTTTACTATCTGAAATCAACAACAATTTCGAAGACAAATAAAAATAACTTCAGATTCTTTAAAAACATAAATATATATTTTGCTGTGTCGGTTTCCAATTCATTAACTTTGCAGAAATATCAACAGAGACACACACGGTTTCTATGACTGTAAATGTAACTCTAACTGTAACTGTAACTGCAACTGTAACTGTAAATGTAGGATTCTAACTGTCGTTTGGCCAAACAATTTTCAACCAATTTTACTTAATTGCCTTCGCAGATAATAAATCATTTTCTTTTCCCGTGTACCCGACTGGTCCGCCACCCACTCGGCTCACTCAGACATTGAGCACAATGAGCGATGAGAATTTCGGGTGAGGGGCAGGGGCACGGGCAAGGGTATCGGCAGGAGCAGAGGCAGAAGCAGAGGCAGAGGCAGAGGCAGCTACCAGAATCAGACCTTAGATGGCCTTAGATGCTGGTTGCTCCTTTCATTTTTATATTTTTGTGCGACGTTATCTGTTTTTTGCTAATTAACTTGGCTGCTTGTCACCGCGCGCTTAGAGAAAAAGGCAGAGAGACAGAGAGAGTGTGAGAGAGAGAGAGAGTGTGAGAGAGAGAGAGCGAGAGAGAAATAGCAAGAGAGGGTTATTTAGAAGAGAGTGATAGAGAATGGTTAATATATACAGACAGATAGAGAGAGAGAGAGAGAGAGAGAGAGGGAAAAGTTGAACGCTACGTTTTGAATTCGAAAATCTCATTAAAATGTTCGACAGGCGTTCCCTTTGTCCCGCTTAAGCCCCGAAAACCCCTTTATATCAAATACGGGCAAGGAAAAGATGAAAAAATGTCACAGCCAACAAGAATTACTTAGAGGCAGTGGGCGTTGCTACTATGTAATATTTATTGTAGTTACATCTTCGGTGACCTTTCCAGCGCAAAGAGTTTGCCACTTAGCCAAATAGTCATTTAAGCCCTTACTAACCCAACTGCCGCCAATAGACCACATTCGGCCAGGCAAGGCAACATTTTAAATAGCATTTTAAGGGCAAGCAACAGTAAAAACGGGAAGGTGACCAATAAACTAACCAGATGTTTCCGGAATTTGAATACAGCTGCCCGTTCCGGAATTATATTTACATTTTCACATTGTGGCCGTCAGGCTTTTTAGTATGTTGCCTCTTTCAGGCTGTTTCGAAATTATATGGTACAATAGAGTTCTGCAATTGTTTATTGAATACCAAACATAAAATTTCAGAAATGAAAAATTATAAAAACTTCATCAGTTAAGCTGAAGTTCCAAACAATTCAAATTCAATTCGAAGTTTGTGTTATATATAATATTAAATATGTACAAGTATGTGTGCATGTAATGTGTATGTGTTGCAAAACAATCAAAAGGATATCTACACTTTTATATATCCATGGCCAAAAGCACAACTTTTGCATATGTTGTCGCACAGCTTTTATATTTTTCAAAAATCTATCGCTTAATAATAAAAAAATTTCTAAAATGTATGCAAAAATGCAAACCCTTTTTAGAAAATATAATTTCTGATATTCAGAAAATAGTGCAAACAAAATTTGTCTGTCGAAATATATTTCTTAACAATAGCAAATATTTCTGGCAGTTCGCATTGGTCCGAGCGTTAACAAGCCCGCGCCTGGTTTAATTTGGCAACTTGAATGTGCAGCTCGTTGGTACTCCAAGGACCAAACAATAATATTAGGCATATGTTGAGCCTGCTCTAGCTCAAACGAGTTTGTAAATCATACTCAGTCCTATTTAGCATACAGAGCCAGTTTTCTCCTGACATATGGGACATTCAAAACAATTAGTTTGAAACTTGCCGATTTCATTGAAACTTTCCCAGAGAGTTTCTTCAGTGATTTGTTACCCATCTCAATATTCGTTTATTTCTTCATATAATATAGAATACTGGAAAAATAATGATGATAAATATTTTAAATTTACCTGTTTTTATTTGCCTGTTTAGAAAATTTTGAATAAAAAAAAATATATTATCAAAGTTGTTAATTTGCACACTCAACAACAGATCAATATAATTGAATTTCATAATTTATTACAGCAAATAATAGTTAAGTGCTGTATAAGGAAATGCAAACATAAGCATCGAAAAAGTTCGACTTTGAAATTTAAAACTGGAGCACTCGTCCTTGGCATTAACCATGAATTTTCCATCCCATGACGGCCTTGGTTGTTTACAAGGTTATTCTGGGCAAATCCTTGCAGCTTTCGCTCGAGGCGTGTGTTTGTCACTGAACAATTAATTGAAATATGTAATTATATTTGCAAGCTATATAATTATAAGTCTAAAAATCCAGCATATTCAAAGGCCCATACCAAATCGATGACACACTCAATTTATGTAAAACTTGAGCCCCAGACTCGTGGCTGGAACAATAAGAAAAAACCAAAAAACAAAAACAAAAATGAAAAATTATAATTATAATTAAATAACAACTAACATTTGGCAAGGTATGAGGCGGAGCCAGATGTGCTCGAACCGGTTCGGTTAAAAGCACTTGTACAGGATGTGGCCATAATTCACTTTGCTGCCATCGAGTTGGCCAAAGTGTGTCAAAAAGG